GAATAGAATAGAATAGAATAGAATAGAATAGAATAGAATAGAATAGAATAGAATTCTTTATTGGCCAAGTGTGATTGGACACACAAGGAATTTGAGTTGGTGCAAATGTTCTTAGTGTACATAAAAGAAAAGATACGTTCATCAAGAATCATAAGGTACAACAGTTATTAAAGTTATTAAAATATCATTAAAGGAAATAAATCCACAATTCCAAAATGTAAACCTGGTAAATATATACCAGGAAGAAGATTAAAATAGAAATCATAAAGTAGAAGGATTAAGGAATAACTCTAAGAAAACGTAGATCTATTCTAATTTTGGGGTATGTCATTAAAACCAGGGGTGGGATTCAGCCGGTGTTACTACTGGTTCAGTGAGAGTGCATTTTGCGTGATGTTTGCAAAAAAACATCAACTGTGCTGCCCGTGCACAGCGTTTGAAAATCCTCTTCTTTCCTGCTTTTTCAACCTCTGCTGTGCCGTGCAAGCAGCTGAGGTTGAAGAAGCAGGAAATAAAGGACAGCCAACAGCACAGGCGGGTAGGTGGGCCAAACAGACAACCAAAAGGTCATTGCAGTGAACTGATTCGGTGTCTGCTACTCTTCAGAGCTACTGGTTCTATAGAACTGGGTAGCATCCCACCCCTGATTAAAACCATACCTACTGAATATCATCAGGGCAGAAACAAGAGAATGATATTCACTCTTCTTTATTTACTTAGTATTTTAAAACAGAAACAAATGCAATATACTTACTCCCCAGGCCCTTTGTCTTCTTCAACCCTCACTAGGTTCCTTTGGAGAGCTTTATAAACTTAGATTTTCCCCAATTTCACAAAGCCCCAATTTGGAGATGCAAAGTCAGATTCCTTCTCCAAGACCAAGGAAGGCCCTGTCTGTGATCTTGAAAGGGAGATATCAATTGGTTCTAAAGTTATTCAGACATTGTTCCAAGAATCACAGGGCTTCAGTCTTATTATAGAATTATCACTAGAATGCTTAAAACTCCCAATCTAATATTAATCCCAAATCAATGTTTCAAGGAATTGACTGCCATAATTCCATTATGTGTTTCTTATTAAGTTTTATTTCAATAATTTAATTCATGTTGGTGATTGTTTTTATTTTAAGGTTGGGAAGGTCAACTATTGTGTTAATACCTTTACTTGGAATTCATGAGATCGTTTTTAGTTTCATTATGGATGATCACGTTGAAGGATTCTCCAGGAATGTCAAAACCTTCATCCAGCTAACCATTGGCTCTTTCCATGTAAGTGTGGTATAGTGATGGAAATAGATTAAACAAATTTAATATCAACTTTACAGAATGCAGTTGAGAAAAAAATAATCAAAAACCATTATCACAGTTCATTAATAAATAATGCATAATAAAAGAATCTTTAAAATATAATTAACATATTTTTAAAATAGGATTTGATACAAACATTAAACTTCTAATACTGAATAAATAATGTCTAGCATATTTAAAAATACCAGCGTCTCACTAAATTATTTGTATAGAATTCTTTCCAAACCTAATATTATTTTTCAGTATTGTCACTTCAATTATTTGCTAGAGTTTTTTGAAACAATCTTTAAGTACAGTAGTGACTGCCAAATTCAAATTTTCTACATTTCCTCATAAGTCAGAGGAATAGAACTGGCTAATAGGTATAATGATAATTCTTAATTAGCAATGCCTTTAATAAACTAAATCTTTTTACTTACCAGACAAAAAAGCAACAACAAAAAACAAACCTAGTTTGTCATTGCTATCAAAAAAGAATAAAAAAAATGTGAAGAAAAATCATATGTGCTGTATTTGGCTTAGCCTATTTTTATATAAATTTTTTATTTCTGTTAAATTTAGCTTGATTGCTATTGGAGACCTAGTTCAATTAAAACAATTCAGTGAAGTATTTTTTAGTTATTAGGAACAACATTCTCAAGAAATTTGTCACAATATTTCCCTGTCCTAATCTAATTTTATAGTCTGTTGGTTATTTGGTACTGTATCTAATATATTTAAATTTTCTCAGAGAATGTTAGCCCCAAAGAATGAGACATTTGAAGTCAGTTCCATGCTTGTTGGAAGTTATGTGCTGCTTTTCATATTTCACAAATCTACCTATTTGAGTCTTAGAACTCCACACACTCCAACCAACATCAGAAATTCCATACAACAGTATTAGATTTATATCAGCCCAGTATGGGTAGTTCTGAAAAGATAATTTTGAAACATGTGCGTAATAAGTGGGGGAGCAGAATGAACTGATCTTTTGGAAATTGTCTTAAATTTAATGCTCCATTGTGCTTTAAAATAGCAAGCCAGACATTTCCTCCAGCAAAACGTTCAAAGTAAAATTAAGCAGATTACTCAGGAAGGATACAGGTCAAAACCTTTATGATTGTTAAGAGGCAAAAATGATTTTTGAGTGAGAGGAAGATAGTTGCTTTTATGTTCAATTTGCCAGCATGATGGCTCATGTTTCAGGTAGTATTTTGTAAAACTATTCGCTGATTATATAAATTCCAAGTCAAATTGTACTTTGGCATATGTTTCTGAAATCTAATTGACTTCTTCTTTCTCTTCCAGGGTTTTCTCGTAGCACTATTATACTGCTTTTATAATGGCGAGGTACATCATCTTTTTCATTTCTCATTCTTCAGCCCTGAATCCCCATTTCAGTTGCTCAGAACACACGGTTTATGGTTCTTGATGATCATTCAGTTATGGAAAAATTGATTGAAGAATTATTATTTTTTCCATCATATTACTTGTAATGGTTGAAAAGACCCTGCTTGACCCAGCAAGTTGGCTATCTACCTGAGAACAGAAGAACTTGTGAGAAGCATGCACAGTCTGTCATGCTCCGCAATAAGCCAATAGTCTTCCTGGGAGGGCCTCTGTTTATGGAGAGAGGTTTTGGGCTGCCCATTTCTCTAGTAGAAAAATGTGGACGTAATCCAAGTTGAAAGAGCAGGTGCAAGAATTTCCCCCTTTGGTTTTTCAATGATTTTTTTTGTGCCGCTTTGCACAATGGTATAAAATGGATTGTAGCGATATTGGGGACTTTAGGAAAGAATACATTCCCATTCTCATATTAACTGGTTGGATGCCTTTCACTTGTCATGCAAAATTACTGAGGCAAAATAAAAATAAGATTAACAGATGGATTCAGATGACTATGGGATTGTTTAATCTGGTGGATGTACGTACATTTGAATGTAGAGAGACAGAAATCAGTCACTCAGTAATCACAAACAGCCATGCTATATAATAACTATATTGTATTAGCAGTAGCAGCCCTCTCTAAGTGGTTTACAGAATCAGCCTATTGCCTCCATCAATCTGGGTCCTCGTTTTACCAACCTCGGAAGGATGGAGGGCTGAGTGAACTTTGAACTGGTCAGGATCAAACTGCTGGCAGTCAACAGAATTAGCCTACAATACTGAATTCTAACTACTGTGCCACCATAGCTCTTATTTAGAAGATTCCCAGTTGGAAAAGGCTGCTATAATCCTAACTTTTTACTTTTTTTTTTTCAGGTAAAGGCTGAATTACGCAAGCAATGGTCTCGTTTCTTGCTAGCATATCCCTTTGTCTGTATGCCCTGCTTTCTTGGAAAGAACATCAAGCACCTAAGGAAATGTCCAAACAAGCACCATTTGAGCAATAACAATCCCTCCCTTGAGGTGACACAGCCTCCCAAGAAGCAAGCGGCCAAAGTGAGAACATGCTACAATATGGAACGAGGCCCCACAGAAAGACACAACTTCAGAGCAAGTGTTTCTGATAGCAGCGAAGAAGAAATCGCCAATGGGGAGACCATTGAAGAGGCTCTGGAGGAAAATGAGGGTTAGAACCTTTAAGAGAAAATGAATTTGTTGGGATCTATCTTTTGCATGGAAGCAACTGGAATTAAAGATCCTATGGAAAGGGCAAAATGAAAGCAGCTTTGGTACATCCCCACCCCCTCCCCGCCCCAATCCATTCTTCATTTTGTCAGTAAAACAAATATTGGCATAGGCTAGGAGCAGCAATAGGTCACTTTTCTTAGTTCTCAGGAACTGGATCTGGTATCAACACTATATGGAATAAAATGATGTCTCTCTCACACACGCAGTGAGAGAGTCTGCTGCTCCTTCTGAAACTTCCAGCATGAGGTCCTACCAGAGGCTGACTGCTACTCTGACTGAACCAAGGTTCAGATTTCAGGAGGCTGCACTTCAGGACTACAAGGCCTCTTATGATACCACTGAAACAACTAGCTAAATGCACCAAGTGAATAAAGGAACTGGTCTGAGAGTCAGTTTACCATACATTTAGATGCTTGCATGTATACACCTGAAAGCATATTTTTTAGCCTTTGCTAAAATAATAGTTAAATCAGAGCAACCATGTTTTAGGACACAGTTATTAATGCTTTGTTTTTCCAATATATTTTGCAAGTCCTAATTTCTGTTATTCTTTCAATATATCTATAAAGTAAATCACTATGACTTCCATTACGTAATTAGAAAATTAATTTGACTTAATCCAAAGGAGAAAAATCTGAGAAGTTTGAAACAGCTGGATGAAATGAAAAATAAAATAAAAAAATATGAGGAGCGATCGGGAGCTGAGAGATTGCTGTATGAATACATCTTATTTCTCAAATAGAAGGACAAGCTGAAATGCAACTTAAAAAGGCAAGATGAAGTAGTAATCAAAGGCATTGGCAAGCAGTTGGAAAGGCTTCATTTAGGAATGTGTATTTGTTCTCAATGCTTTTGTTTTAAAGGAAGAATGACAGAAGCTCTTATCTCTTTCATTCCTGTCTATGTTTCTTGTCCACATTGTCCTCAACTGTATTTCTTTCCAGAAGAAAGAGAATAGAGGAACTCCAAGCTCCAAAGTAACCAGAAGCATCTGCATTCTGTCCCTGGATTCATAAGAAATGCTAGGTTTCTTCCTCCACTATCTTGGGTTGTGGGTTACCTTCAGTTACTGATTTTATTTAACTGCATGCATTGGCCACTGCTGCAGTATTTTCTCTTCTTGCCAGTTGATGGCTTTTGCCCTTGCTCCAATAATTAGGTTTATCTAATAAGTATGGAAACATGGACATGACATTGCACATGAGTTTAGTTTAATCAGAGTTTAGATGTAAATGAAATTAACCTTAGTTTAATTATAATCACTATTCTTAATCTCAGGTATCTGTCACAAGATTTACAGTATCTCATATTGCTATTGTAAAACAGGACTTTTATCCTAGGGAAGTTCAAAGACGTCCTACTTATACCCATTCTCCTCATGTAAAGGAGTTGGCTTTGTGTTACGGTTTGGCTTTGTGTTATAGGTAGCCAGTGATTGGAGGTTGGAAAAGTGGACACAGACTTAAATGCACAAGCAATTGAAAGCAAAGTGGAGCAAATTCCAACCATACCAACTTCAGAAGCTCCAACAGTCAATAGACAGCCTGCAGCTGTAATAACATTTCCCCCTTGCAGCCTTTGCTTTAATGGCAGGATCAAGGAATCCAAAGTTAACATACCAATAAAAAAGGGAGTATAAAGGGAGTTACTAATAAAAAAGGGAGTATAATGAAATGGGGAAATATTTACTCCTAGAAGGATTTTTCTAGTACAGAATAAACAGTAGTATAATTAGTAGATATGTCTTGATTCAAGGAGGGAAAAAGAGGCAATTTAATAACATTAATTCTGGAAAGAAACCTAAACATGGTAAATGTTCTAGACACACTGGATTTAAATGGAGAGACTAGGGCATGAAAAAAGAGAAATAGATAAAAGAAAAGATGCTAAAATGACTTTTGGATAAATTAGTAGCCTGTAGAAGGGGTGGGTGAGGAAGATAGATGAAATCTGACTGAGCACAATCTGCTTACCATGACATCCATGAGTATATAAGACCAAGAACTCTTGAGAGATATTGGCTAGGTACAATCTTCGGCTAAATTTTATGATTGAATCTCCTATGGCTTAGTATTAAGTATGAACTGAATGGCTGTGGCTTATTCAAAATCCAGTGGGGTGTAATACCCTGCAAATGAGTTATAGATCAGATAAAAATAGTTTTCCAGAAGTCTATTTACTTTCCCCTGCAAAGTCTTGTAGCTGATTGTGGGATTCGAGAATGCTACAAAGTTTTGGGATTTGTTTCAGGGCAGGGAGGTCCTGTTTGTTTCTCTCTTTTTTTAACTTTTAATTGCTTTTCCTTCAATTTTCCTTCTGTCATGGATCTTGTAGGGTCCCCCCCCCCATCTCTTAGCACCAAGTATTAGTAAAGAAAAACATTACATCATCATCACAGGTGATGAACTCCAAATGGCCATCTGAATTGCAAACAGTGGGCATATTCCAAAGAAACTTCATTCAAACCGTACTGAAATTAATGGGTCTTATTCCCACGCAACTCCATTTACAAGCATGTGCCCCACATGCTAAAAACATCAGCTCCTCTAAGGCAAGTTTGCACACTCTGGGATTCATCTCCCTGCTGAAATGCTGAAGCAATGTTTATACAAGGGAAGTTGGCAAAAATCCCACTCATCCCTGTTCTATATCATTATTCTGGTCAGAAGACTCTCTAGTTAAGCAAATCTCTCCCTTTGGTGAAGGAGGAATGAGTGGTTTGTACACAAAGTCCTTTAGCAGGGTTTCTATTGGCATTCTCTAAATAGGCAGGTAGTCAGAGCATCACCCATCAGACTCTTATTTGTCTATATGTGTATGAAGGGCGGGAGGGTTTTTAATGATCACCTCTAAGACACAGAACAGGTAACAATGCCATTGCTGTAGATCGACTTTGTTTGAAGACCTGCTGAAAATTATTTGTATCATAAAATACATCAAAGCAAAATTGTTCTTAATTGTTCTGAATTTTGTGTTGCACATTGACTGCACATCACCCTACAGATCCTAGCATGCCCACATGTCTTTTAATCTTTCATAGGGAGAGAGAAAGAAAGGAATAAGATTGTATTTTTGAAGTCATCTCCTAATTTGTTTTCCTTTGAAGTGAAAGCAAACAGATTTTCACTCAAGCTCAAATGCAAAACTGACAAGAGTAAAACATCTGTGGGGATCTGCACACTGTCAAAATCTACTTACTATCCTCTGTCTCCAGCATCACTGTCTGCTGCTAATATTACTACTTGCCATTCCAGTAAGTAGATGGAAAATCAGATAAGAAATGCCGCAGATGTTTGGAGAAGCATTCCAGATTGTTCAAAGGATCAAATCCTGCCTTTAGTCTATGGTGTTTTTTTAATTTATTTGAGAATTTATTTGAGAATTAACCTGTTTTTCTCTCTAGGGTATAATCCTGGTTTTTCCAGGAAATGCAATCTATTAAGACTCCATTTAGTAACTTTTCCAAGTTGATACAAAAACTATCAGAACAATTGTCTGCTGAGATCTCTTGACTACAGTAGTTTGCAGCTTCTGGCTTCTGTTGACTCTGGAAAATATGTTTGCAAGTATATTTCTTCTGTCTCGTGCGTGTGTGCGTGTGTGTGTGTGTGATGTGCATATGTATGTGTGTGTTCTTCTCTCTCTCTCTCTCTCTCTCAAATGGAAATGCATGTGGATATGTCTTGCATTCTATATTATATACAGAAGGTATGTTTCTAAGAACTAAGCATGCAGAAGGAATTGAAATTCTTTTACAGTCAAAATCCATGAAAACTTGGAGGTGGAAATTGTAGAGAATTGTTATCTCTGAAAAGATAGAACCAGTCCTGGTCAGTATTGCCAGCTGATATTACAATTTTCATAAAAACCAATATGATTATAGTGCAATTAGAGTAGGTAGAAGCATCAAATATAATCACAATGATAACATCTGTGCTGTATCTGCATCTTTTTGTACTTGTGCAGCAGTTCGTAAACAGTGAGGTTTGTGTTGCAATAGATGTTTCATTCCTTGGTGAATGGGCAACAATTTCTGTCGAAGCTGCGACTCAAACTTAGAACTGATTGAATGGCTGCAGGAGGCCTTCCCATCACACAGTAACATTTCCAAAGGTGGGGTTATGGCTGACAATTGGCCTGTTTGATGAGATAGGGGAGTCAGTCTAGGCACATTAGAGTGATTTAAAGACTCCGGTCATATTTTCATAGTATGGGGCCAAAAAAAAAATGTTGCTACGATACAATCCAGTCATTTTGCCACCAAATTTCAGTGGCATGCTCTCAGTATGCCTTGCTTTGTGAATTGTTTGTGGCCTGTGAGGTGTGGTTGACCACTCCTTCACCTACTAATTTTATTTTAAAGCTAAATTAATTTAATATCAATGCATATAAAAGTAAAGGAAAACATGTTTAGAAAGAAACTCACCCTGCTGTGTTATTATAGGTGCAGGATACTGGGGACCAACATAACCAATGTAAGGAACACGGAGGCAACTAATAATTGGCTGAAATTTATTTCCTAAATAAGATTTTAATGCTACTTATTGATAGAAAGACTGTACAGTGTTATACAAAATTTTGTATAACCTCCACAATCTCTTGTCATTGGTCTACTGGTTGAGATTAATGACTATTGAAGTCCAAAACTTAACAGTTAGAAGAGAACATTAGTCCCTCTGCTCAGTTCAAGAATCAAAATTCAAAGCATCCTACAATCAAAGCATACTACAAAGATGCTGATCAAGCTTCCATTTGAAAGTCTCCAACACATGGAATCCACCACCCACAGTAATGGAATCCCACAGTATTTTGAATTGCTCTTACAAGCACAATTTATTTGTTCAATCTGAATTTGGCTTTCTGTAAAAGACATCCATTTTCCTTTCCCCTATGTTCTGAAATGAGAGAGAGAGCAAGTCTTGAGATTCTTCTTTGCAACTTCTTTGAGTACTTCAAGCTATCTTGGCCCCCTCAGTTTTTTTTTTTAACTCAAGGCTAAACATGCCCAGTTCTTCAGCCTTCCTTCATAGGATTTCATTTCCAATCCCCAGGGTAAAGAGGAGCAATTATTTCCTGTAATATGGAAACTCTATTTCTGTTCATGCTTCCTAAAATTTCATGAGCCTTCCTGTAGCTCTATAACGTTATTTGAAATCAATTATTTTTCAAGATCATTTGTCTGGTGTGAAGAACCAGATCTACATGTGTAGAGTTCAAATTAACTACTTTATTGTTCTCTGCCTGTTATGCAGGAATCTCTCCAGACTGGTAGCTTTTGCTGCATATGACTAGATAAGGATCAAAGGCATTGAGGAGAGGGGGGAGAATCAGACCTAGCCCTCTAGTGTTTATGTAGAGAGTCCAGGCTCTTCAGCTCTCTTCCCATCTGGGGTGATTGCTCCCCAATGCGTTTTCTGAAACATTACAAAGCCATGTAGCTCCCATTTAATATCCCCACATCTGATTTCTATTTTCTAACAGAAGAACTTTGTAATTGCCTCTGTTAAATTTCCTTCTGTTATTCTCGGCTTATAGTTTTAAATTTTACTTCTGTCTTCAAGAGTATATTAGTTATTCCATCCAATTTTATACTGACTGCAAATTGGATGAGCATTTGCTCTATTTCTTTATTTCAATTGTTAATAAAAAATTGAAATATATAAAACTGAAACTTAATACCTCACTACAATTCCGTGAAGAACCAATGATGATGCCTTGCATGCTTAGCAGGTCAGTGGGTTCGCATGCTTGTTGCATTCACTGTGCCCTTCAAGGATCCATTGACACAGAGGTGGTATTCAGCAGGTTCTGACCAGTTCTGAAAAACCGGTAGCAGAAATTTTGAGTAGTTCGGAGAACCAGCAAACACCACCTCTGACTGGCCCCGCCCCCATCTATTCTCTGCTTTCCAAGTCCCAGCTGATTGGCTGGGTCTTCTTTTGTTGCCCTGCACAGGAGAATGGAGGAGAACACAGGAACACGCAGCTGGAAAGCAGGCTAGTGGGGTGGGGAGGGAATGGTGATTTTACAGTATCCTTCCCCTGGAGTGGGCCCAGGGGATGCCCACCAAGCCACGCCCACAGAACCAGTAGTAAAAAAATTGAATCCCACCACTGCATTGTCCTATGTCATTTTCTCAGTGTTTTTCTCTTTCCCTGAATATTGGGAGTCTGATTCTCGTGAGGGTCTAAAAGCTACTTAATTCAACATCTCTTCTGGCTTGCTCCTCTTTAGGATTTCTTCCTTACAGAAAGTTGCTTCCTTCTTCTAATTCCCATAGTTGTCTCCTTAGTTTGATTTGATAAGTCTCATCCTCTGTCAAATTAGATGCGCTGCTCATATCCTCTGATTTTGTTTTTCAAGCACTGCTACAAGCTTGTAATTGTTGAAAGTATATGTAAAATTCATTTTAGTCACTTTCAGTTTTGTTTATTAATGTTCTACTCATAGGAGGAATGTCTATAGAGAGTCTCAGTCATCCAAGTCATGGTTGCCCCAAAGGTGCTTTTCAAAAGACAGCTGGACTTTCTTTGACTTTTCAAGGAAAAAAACAAGAAGATCCAGTTGCCTTTTGAAAAATACCTTTGGGACATGAGTAGGGGGCTTTACTTTCATCTTTACAGGACACCCCTGGACTTTGAAAGGTAGTTTTGTTTTGCATTCCCTGTTTACTTACTCAGTGACAATCAGGAGGACACCAAGTTGCTAAACCTGGTACTTCTCTATTTGCTAATTTATTAGGAAATAAGAACCAAGTTGGGGGAGTGAGGGTGGGAATGAGGAAGACTGTAGGACTGCTAGTCAACTTTGTATGAAAATGTTTTTAATGGGCTCATGGAAGTGGTAAGAGTGGGTGAAATAGTGTCTGCTTTCTAGGAAAAATAATAAAATGGGATTACATGGGATTAAAGGAGTTAGCTCTTCAATTACAGGCAACTACAGATTATTTTCTTGTAGAATGAAACTAAATCTAGAGGAGGAAATAGTATGGCCTAGATGC